CCTTCGTGGTTCACGTTCTGCGCTTTCCCAGGATGCTCACAAAATGTCCTTCCCGCCACCACAAAACACCGTTTGTCAGGTCAATGGCAGCAAATCTCACCCTATGAGAGCAGGCTTTGGTCAAGGAGAAGGAGAAGACTCATATATTTTGAAGTGAATTTAGAGCAGATATATAAAAATCATGTCACCCATTCTCCGTTCTTTTGAGGAAAGTGACATCTGGGTGGATGGGGGACACAGTTTGGTGACCGTTACCTCCGTTTAAAATGAACGTACATTTTGGGACGCCTGGGTGGCTCAGTCAGGTAAGCATCCGACTCTTGATTTCAGGGCAGGTCATGATCTTGTGGTTGATGAGTTCAAGCCCTGAGCTGGGCTCTGTGCTGATGGTGCAGAGCCTGCTTGGGACTCTCTCTCCCTCTCTGTGGGCCCCTCATGTGCACGCTCTCTCTCAAAATAAATAAACTTGAAAAAATTTAAATGAATGCACGTTTTGATGCGGCAAGTTAGCATTTAGGAATTTACCATATGGATTTGTCCTATATATCTTTACACAAAGATCCAAGTACGTGGACGTTAATGGCAGCTTTTCTTCAAATAGTAAACATAAATGGAAACAATGGGGACTAGTCTGCAAATTATGGTACAGGAATGTACATGAGAGGACTCTGTATATATCTGTTAAAAAGAACGAGGTAGACACATACAGAAGCTGATCTGCACCATGTCCTCACTCTGTAGTGAAGTGAAAACAACCACTAGTAGAACGTGGGATTTTCTCTTCTCTGCCCACTAAGAAGACTGCTTGGCTCCTCCCTCGCTTCTCTGGCTCATTCCCCCCTCCCCACCCACCGCCTTGCCGGGCGCACGTAACAGATCAAGGCTGGGGCTGAGTCCCTCCACGACAAAGACAAGAGGCGGCAAGACAGAAAGAAAGGAGAGGTACAAGAGTCCGACGGAGCAGTTTCAAGGGGAGAGTGGGGGGGAAGTCAGGGTCTCCGAGGGTGTGAGAATCACTGGGAAACTGACAGAAAGAACAGAGGCCTTAGAGAACCACGTAAGTGTCCTGCGGACGCAGGTTTATGTATGTGTACTGAAAATTTCAGGGAAGAAACTCATCCTGCTTATCTCCAGGGAGTGGGACCTGACTTTGAAAAATGAGGGTGATCTTTATCTCATGTTCCTTTGAAAGCACCCTCTCCTGGAACTAATGCTATTCTCCCAACAAAAGTTACATTACCAGAACACGTGTGAATGCACTGAAGTCCCCCTCAAAGCCTTAAAAAGCCTCTGCATCTCTAGCTCTTTCTCCGGGTCCTAAAGAAAATCAAGTCTAATTTATATCCATCATGATTTAAATCTTAAGTTTAAGGTAATTCTCAGTTTTGTTTTTGTATTACTTTCTCCTTTTTTATCTTTTTT